AATCTACATTTGCCATACATCCGGATGGCAACCCTACTATCAAAACAAACTAAAAAAGTAAGAAGGGTATTATAAGCCATAAAACTGGTTATAAAGCCATATTTTAGGAATGGAAGTCAACACAGACTGAATGTTGAGAGTACACGTTGGATATATATTAGGGGTGCACATCAGGTCTGTCAGGACTGAATACCAACATGAATTAACAAAATTTGCGGGTCCTGAAAAGGGGCCATCTTGCATCACATTTTGCCTGCAAAACATTCAACACTTGACCTGACTCGACTCAGTTGGTCTGTCCTATCCACATAATTTCAGGGTATTTTTTGTTTTGTTTTTAAAGGTAATTCAGAATGCCATGAATGTGATTTCCTGTAACCAGTCCCCAACCCGCCCAGTCCTCTACAGGCTTCTCCCATCCCTCCAAAAGGGACCAATTGTTTGTCTTCACAAAACATCTGGTCTAACCTGTGTGCATTAGGCTAAATTAGTTGCCACATGTATATTATTAGCTGAAGCCAAAATGGACTCTTGCTTTGAGGAGTGATTCCTTTACATGATTATGAGTCTGAAATACTTTTCCATTTCATACTGGTGCTCTGAAGTTTCTACTGCAATTATTTGTATGTTTTAATAGATTTAATATAAATAAAAAGTTTACATTCTATTACTGTTTATTTTTTAAATCACCCCCTTATGCTTTTAGCTCTTTCTGTTCAACAACAACAGCAACAACACCAATAATAATTTTATTATTTATACCCCACCCATCTGGTTGGGTTTCCCTAGCCACTCTGGGTGGCTTACAGTACATATAAAACATACTAAAACATCAAACGTTAAAACCTGCCTTGAGTCCCTGCTTTCAGGGGAAAAGATGGGATATAAAAAAATACAATAATAATCATACTGGGATGGAGAGCCTGTAGCCCTGTGGCTATATTGTTGTACTACAACTCCCATTGTTCCTGAGCACGGGCCATGATGGGAGTTGGGAGTCCAACAGCACCTGAATGGCAGCAGGCTTCACATTCTGAGAAGAGGCAGAGTACAGTGGTACCTCAGGTTAAGAACTTAATTCGTTCTGGAGGTCCGTTCTTAACCTGAAACTGTTCTTAACCTGAAGCACCACTTTAACTAATGGGGCCTCCCGCTGCTGCCGCACCGCTGCTGCGCGATTTCTGTTCTCATCCTGAAGCAAAGTTCTTAACCTGAGGTACTACTGTATTTCTGGGTTAGCGGAGTCTGTAACCTGAAGCATCTGTAACCCGAGGTACCACTGTATGTTGAAAGTTAATTCACGTAGACTGCAATCATATAAGCACACTTACTGACTTCAGTGGGGCTTACTCACTAGTAAGACTTGCTTCTGAGTAAACCTGCTTAGGCATGTCCTCACAGTCACTTAGAAATGCTGTGTGCTTTGAAATATTTAAGTAATGGTTTCAAAAAGCTAACTATTTTAAAATGTTGTTAAAATCTTGTAATTGTTACTTACTGTAAATAATTAATTACTGATACAGTACTAGAATGATTTTTGTTTATTAATATTACATTATATTATATTACATCAGGAATCCATTTGGGATGGATGAATGTAAGCTTTGATGCTGATACGTACCAATGCGTCAGCACAAAAATGTTGTACTTGTTAATAAGGGCACTGAACCATATTATTAAGAGAAACGTACGACTACTGATTCAATGGTATGCCTTGACTGATGCTACAGACCGTATTTAAATCCAGCAATGCCAATTCTTATGCAGCAATGACCTGCATAACAACACTTACCTACTCATTCAGTACAGCTGTACTAAGTTCAGTTTCACATTGTTTTGTCAGGATTCGTCCTGCAGAAGACTTTCAGGGTTTTCCATAATCTCCCCCATGGTCTCTTAGAGCTCTTAGATCATCATATGCAAATATAACAGAATGGGCTAGTTCAGACAATGGTGACCACAGGGCAAAACTGGAAACTTCCACTTCAGTTTTTGGTTAGCTGCAGCTTGCCGTTTCATAGAAACCCAACCAACTTATCAATCTTAACTATTGTTTGATTGAACCAAGCCAATTTCAAAATATGGTTTGTTTCAGACATTAGTTAAGATGGCCCACAGTGTAGGCTGAGATGCAACACTAAACCACAGTTAATCCAAAATGGACATGAAAGCTTCTAACCTCCTCCTTGCAGCCATGCTGGAGGTGAGGGGAGAGTTTACTGTGATGTCTGAACTGACCCACTGTGTCTCAGGTGAGTGATTAGTTGGCTCCTAGCCATGCTGAGACACTGAGAATGACAGCCGAGTAGCAGTATCACATTTTGAGAGGCTCTTGGGTCACAACTTGGAAACCAAAGTTTCCTTTACACCTTTTTCCAAGAACCTATGCTATGCCTGCAGCTGTGGAGGCCACCGACCAAGCATACAGAGCCACTGTTCTTCTGTACTCTGCCCTTCCCATGCCCTTGAGTCTCTACAGTATTTAATGGAGAGCACTTTGTAGCAGGGCAGAAACAAGAAAACACAGCGAGCATGTAAAGGAAGCGCAAGGAAGGTGAAAAGAAAGCAAGAAACCTGCTCCAAGTCGGAGTTTCAACTTCCCACCTTGACCTGGTTCCTCTCACCTTGCAATCAACATAATAATGGCTGTTCTCCAAACTCAGGTAGACGTTACTTTAAAAATAGGCTGCTGCTCAAGCATGAGCAAGCTCACTTGCAATTTCAAACAAGTGGCATTTAAGCCTCACCCCAACAGTCACCACAGGAAACCCTTAAACAAATGTATGGCCCTATCTATGCAAATATGCAGCAACTTCATTTCTTTTTTAAACTACTTGATAGATTGGAGTTTTGCCTTTTAGACTTATTACGAAACAAGCTTAAATAAATAAAACAGACTGTATTGTCTATTTCTGATAAGCCTAAATGCACCGAAGAAATGTCTGTCTTGAGAGAATGGCACAAAAAAAAGACAGACAGACCATGAATCAATTTCATCGTTATAGAAAAGAATTATGTTGAAATATAAGTGCTCCTGATAATCTCACCTTGTGACATTTGTGTACAGTATAGAAAAGCTGTTCAACTTCTAAGCATCTTTCCAATGAAAGGCTATAGAACTTGATGAAGTGAATGCTGATACATGGCAATAAAATATTCAGCTAATTTTCATTAAGCCTATACCACTTACAGTACAAGTTGAAGAACTACCTTGACTTCACATTACGTGTTTTTCAAAGGAACACAATGTTCCATGACAAAATCCTACCACATTTTATTTTCCTTCTTCTGTAATTCTGGATCTAATATCCATTTAAAATCAATTAATGGTAGCTGAAAAACCCAAAGCGCATTAATGCTGTAATATATTCTAGAAGTATGGAACATGAGAATGATTTTGGAACAGGGCAATTTTTAAAAATGTTGTTGAGGTAACAATATTATCCATGGTGATTTCACAGTTCTCTTATGAAGAAAATTAAGACTAATCTTATAGACTATACTGAACTATAAAATAGTGCTTATAGGTATCATTCACAGATGGTGCCCTTGATATATCAATTACAAACTGTAATATCCTGATGTATCTAAATTAGGTTTTTTAGATTTATAAGCAGGTACTGTAATTAGTACCACACTAAAAGTACAAATCTTAAATCCATCGTATGTCAGAGTTGCTTAATAGCAAATATAGCCTAGCTGTATTTTTCTAGAGAGAATGTGCATTTCAGAAGTCGGTGGAATCTGATGCTGTTCGTGTTTGCTGACGTAATAGAGGCATGAGCTGGACACAGTTTTAAAATGAAATTTCACATTACTTAAAATCACGAGTTGACAGCCTAGAGGCCTGATTGACTTTGCACTTTTTGTGAGCATTCTTGACATTTGCTGATCTTTATTATGTAACATTCCCACCATATCAAAAACTAGAATAAGATGCCATAGAGGACAATGGTGCATCAGCAATACCAAGCCCTGCAATAGTGGATAGCTCCAAACTCATTTGTTTACATTCTGCAGCTCTCCTTCATTGCAAATATAAAACAAACAACAAAACCACGAAAAAGGGAACTGACAATCTTTTACTGCCTGGATTTATTAAAGAAAACACACGTAAGAAAACCTGGAACATTATTTGTCCTATTTTTCCTACATATGCAGCACCGGATCAGACAAACACAAAACATGCCAATCCGCATGTAGGAAAACAGTCCTCGGCAAACATTATAAATGAAGTAAGGCTGAACAAAACCAGTCAAAAGCATTTAAGGAGGAGAGGCGGGAATTACCCTGCCCTGTCCTCATCCAGACAGAGAGAGGCAGATCCAGGAAGGAGCCTAATTTGAGAATTAAATCAAGTAAAATCAAGCATAATCCCATTACCCTCCTTCCACTTAAAGGAAGGCTATTTAACCCTCTTGATACGTCCATGGACTGAAACAGCAGTGCTTCCCCCTCACACAAACGCCCCTAAAAAGAGTGTTGTTGGGGTGGGGGAGCGCCTTGGTTCAAACTGGCCCTCACAAAGCTACCAGCATTTGCTCTTCTTCCCTTGCCCACAATATTGCCTTGGAGACAAGATATTGGGAAGAGGAAGGGAGCTCGGGGTGGAGGCAAAAGCTAGCTGTACTCACTATTGCTCCAGGATTTCAGCAGATATTTGATGCTGATTTCAAAGAAGCCGGAATCCTGCTGGCTGGCCATGTCTGCGGCATACAAAGAGCCTCCCCTCCCGGAGCAGCTCGAGTGGCAGGTACTTTTTGCCGGCGAGATGGGACTGTCACCAGCTAGTGATGTAAACGGAGGGGGTCAGGGGAGGAAATGAAGTCTCTGCAGAGCCTCTCTCCTTCCGCTCCTGAGAGCTGCTGCTGCTGGTGCTGGTGGTGGTAGCTGCTTGCTGCTGCTGCTGTTGCTGCTGCCTCTGCTCTCCCAATCGACGCCAGCAAGCGACACCCCCCACCCCGCGCCCCGGAGGAGATGCCTGCCCCCCTGGTCATCCTTTAGGGGGGGTTGCTTCTGCCCGTCGCCATCGCGCCCTGCTCGTGCGCCCAGGCTTTCCTCTCCCCTCGGAGCTGCGGCAGAAGCGCAGGGTGTCGCGGGGAGGGAGAGAAACGCACGCAGACGCAGCACCCGAGCAGCGATCGGAAGGAAAAACACCTCTTCCTGCCAAACGCCCAGCGAGCAGATCCGCCACTGCGGGCAGGTTCGGGCTTCTGCTGCGCACAGCCTCGCTCTCTCCTCCGATCCCAGCCTTGGGTGAGCCGGGGTGGCGCGCTTTTGCTTTCCTCTCCTCGCCGGCTGGTCAGCTGCTTCCCTCTCTCCAAGAGCGGCGGCGGCGGCGGCGGTAACAACAACAACAACGCCTTCCTCGGTCCAACTGCATCACGCTGCGGTAAAGGCAACGCTGCACCCATCCGCTGGATGTGCAGCGGAGGAACCTCTCCCTCTCTCTCTCGCCACCCCTCCCTCCACTTTTATTATTATTTTCCCCCCTGCTAGGGTCGCAGCTGCCTCACTTGTTTGGGTGCCTCTCTCCCCGCACCAGACAAGTCGCGGCGGCGGTTGTTGTTACCATTTTGTCTCGAATCGAGGTTTTAAAGAGACAGCAGCCAGGCAGGAGGAAGAGGAGGCAGTTTCTGCTAAAAGCAGCTTCCTCGCGCGTTGCCCGCTAAGCCGGAACATCCCGGATCGAAACCTGATCCCTGATTCAGCCCCAAATGACTCGCAACCCTGCTGGGGACCAAAGCCCCCCTGGACCCTGCCTTTGGACAAAGTAATCATTTGTTGACACAAGGCTCTGAGCATGGAAGGGGCGAAGGGAAAGGCTTGCTTGGGTCCTTCATTGCTCCTGCAAGTCATCCTGGGCACCATGTACAGGCAGTGTACGTTTTTGGCACGCTGCTGCTAAGCAAATTTTTTATTTTTATTTTTAGGTAGGTCGCAGTGGTGTGCAAAAATGGCTGGTATTGCACAGGCGGACCTGCATGCAACCGGCTCACCACACAGAGAGGGAAGAAATCCTACAGTATGTTTCCGCAGTTTCTGAAAGGTTTCCAGCTGCCCCTGCAAGCTTGTCAGCTACGCACTAAAGACATCACGTCTGATTTCAATAGAGCATCCATCCCAGGGCCCGGGATTAGGATATAGCACCGTCAACATATATATGGTGCTTTGCAGGAGTAAGCAAATAAAATCAGGCCTTTTTGTCTCAAAAAGATTACAACCTACATTACAGCAGTAAGCAGACATCAGAGGGAGAGAAGGGGGGGAAACAGGAGGGATAGGAGAGGACAACTTTTTTTGCCAGAATAATTCACCTCTCTCTTAACTCATAGTCTCTAGATGTTGCTGGCCTGCAACCCCCATCATCTCCAGCCAGCACAGCCAGTAGGAGTTGTAGAGTCTCAGAATTACTGTATAGAGTTGGAAGGAACCACAAGGGTCTAGTCCAACCCGCTGCAGTGCATGAGCCTTTTGCCCAACATGGGGCTCAAACACATGACCCCAACATTAAGAGTCTCATGTTCTGCTATCTTTGTACAATAGGCTCATTTCTACACACATTCATACACGTCTTTCTATCCACCACCCAGGCAAATAATCATCATCACAGCTTGAGGACAAATTCCAGCCAGGCAAAAACACCCAAACCAGGGCAAGTGAAAGGTCTGGCTGAGGAGGGAGTGTAGCCTGGGGAAAGTCCCAAGGGCCAGATAGAGAGGCCTTAATATTAAAATGATAACACCCTGCTTTGGATAGGACTCACCTCTCTCTCATACACACACCCTAATTTTAAGCATACTTACTTGGAAGTAAATCCCGTTTACATCAATGCAGTTTAAAGTGCAATCCTGTTGTAACATTGGCTGTCCCATTATTGTAAATGGGTTTATCATTGTGGTTTAGTAAAAGGGATGTTGGATAAGGTTCAAGAACCTGGCAACACAACCTTATTTCCCTTAATGCTGGAGTGGATGCTTCCTACTAGCCAATTCACTGCATGGGTGGAGACTCGGACCAATGCTTTGGAAGAAGTTGTGTACCATTGGAAGAAAAAGGTGATTTGTTGTTAGAAGTTGCCGAGAGTTTGTAGCTTGTAGGTGAAACGGTAAGTGCAGCCTTCCCAGGCAGGGGGAGGGATGGGCTACACATGGTGCTCTCTGTGGATTTGTTGCTTGCCTGAATGAGTACCTACTTGTATATCATAAATAAAGCAAAATACTACCAAGAGACGGCACATCTCCAGTGTTCTCTCAGTCGAAAGAAACTAAACCTGCTATGTCTCACTCCTTGAAGAAGGGGATTAACAAGTAACACTGTTCTCAGCGTGAGAAGGTCAGGGTGCAGAGGACCCCATTGTGTTGTGCCTACAGCAACCCACTAGGCCACATGACGCATGCTACAGCTGCCAGGAGTTGGCACCGCTTGGTGGAGCTGCCCTGCTTGCTGACCAGGAGGAAATGCAGGGGATGGGAATCTGATGAGCTGGATGGAGGAGAGGAAATGGGAGTATTATGGCCTGGCCTAACTCCACCCTCTGCAAGTCGCAGGCAAGCAGAGGAGAGAATTCACTCACACATATTTGGACACTTCAATTTAGGGGTAATAGTGGTCCTCCCAATTTTTGCTGAGCTCCATCTCCCATGAGCTCCAGCCAGCATGGTTAATGGTAAAAAATAAGGAGTAGGGTAGTCCAACAAGTTCTGGAGGACCACAGATTAGTCCCCAAGCAGGACTGCACTCTTGAGCAAATCTACTTAGGAAGAGGGCCTTCATGTCATAGTAAGTTCCTTCAAACCAATTGTTAACACCAGAACCACTGATCATTTATAAAATAGCCCCAAAGTATACCAAACACTTAAAATATGGTTTGTAAACATAATGCCATGTAGTGTGCAAATGCTATGAAACCAGGAAGACAGAGAGCCAAACTGCATATCACATGAAAATACATGTGCACAAACCCCAGCTGCTGCTTCTACACCAAAGCATCCCTGGAAGAAATGGAGAATGGTCCACTAGGGTAAGTGGGGCACTGCCCCATCAGCCTGTCTGTCCTCATCTGGCCACACCAGCCTGCCTACTTACAGCTGATCAGGGAGTGCCCCTACATTTCACTTGCTCAGGCTCCACCCACTGCTGGTCTCCCCTGCCTTATGGGGTACCAGCAGTCCCCACTGCTTGGGAGGGAGCAAAAATCAGAAGTCAATCAGCAGGACATATGCTTAACCCTTTTCTCTTCCAGCTGTATTTCCCCCCTGGAGGAGGAGGAGTTGAAGCAGTCCTAGGGCTTTCATTTCCCTGGTTCCATCCAGGCCTCAGCACTGAATATGAAAAGCAGAGACATTTCCAGTTTTAGGCTAGTCAAGAGTCAGGGTTTACAGCAGCAATTCTAGCAGGGATCTTTATGCACAGAGGGGTTGATAGTTAACGAAAAGCAGCTGTTAATTGCGACAAAACTTACAGACTTCTAAAGCATTTTATCATGCTTCATAGAGGAACGATAGCGATCAACAATGCAAACTATGTTTACATGTTTAATAATTACAATATTTATTATGCCGTTCTCATACCTCAAGGAATTGTTTCAGGGAAATGTTACTGAACAGCACAGGTTTCACAGAGCTGCAAGTCCAGTTCATATCCAAGAACAATCTTGCAAATGACTAAGAGATTTTGATCACCAAGTTGACCATGAAGTAATAAATATCTTAGAGAGAAAACCTCGGAATTTAATTAGAGATTAGAAATAAAACAAATTACTAGCAGAATTCAATGGGGCTTACTTCAGTTACTCGGAACAAGTACTTACTTGAGGTAGGAAGCACTGATTATAGAGCAAGTCATGTCCAAAGCAAGTTCCAAACAACAGAATCTTACGTGTTTGCTTTAGCTGATATGGCAGAAACAATATACTGCACCACAGCAACTACAGTGGTACTTTGGGTTACATACGCTTCAGGTTACATACACTTCAGGTTACAGACTCCGCTAACCCAGAAATAGTGCTTCAGGTTAAGAACTTTGCTTCAGGATGAGAACAGAAATCGTGCTTTGACAGTGCAGCAGCAGCAGGAGGCCCCATTAGCTAAAGTGGTGTTTCAGGTTAAGAACAGTTTCAGGTTAAGTACGGACCTCCGGAACGAATTAAGTTCTTAACCTGAGGGACCACAGTAATAGCACATCAAACACGACTAAGCCAGGCATCATAGAGGCACACAAACTGAAGCCATTGCCCATTCTTAGGGTGTCAGGCTGTGTGACTAGGCCCGTTCCCTAAAGTCACACAAAATACTTATATATTGTTGCTATCTGTGCAGCAGCAACTGTGGCAACCTTTGTATCATCACTTCAGTCTTGAAACCTGATGCTATGAGCTACAGCAATGGTAGGGCTGGCCGAAGATACTTTGCTGCCTATGGCAAACAGCAAAATGACACCTGCCAGCATGATCTGAAAAACTTACAATGAGTATTCACAATAGCTGACCTAAAGTGTCCAGTTGTTACTGGCTATTTTCAGCTTGTTTTGTATTGATTATAACCTGATATGCTCATACCCTGTCTTATGTTCATGTGTGTACGCACCCACTCCAATAAGCATATATACAAAGAAAATGGCACCCATATACAGGAACTGACTAGAGCAGCTGTTGAAATGTACTTCAACACTGGTGATGGGACAGCATTTTCCACCACACTGGAAGACAGCAAAGTAACAGAGGATGCAGGGTGTAATGCACACAGCTATATTATCCAATACCTCACCACTGCCCCCCCAAAAAACTGCTGCCTCACTCTGCCTAACGGTAGGACCGGCTCTGAGCATTGGCTCAGCACTTTAGCTGTGGACTGGAGTTTTAATAGTGACCATATATAATAGGTAAACATAGGTTAAATACAAATGACATTCTTTGAGGTCATGTGTCAAGGGGTGCACAGAGCCTAAACAAGTGCAAACCACCCATTTGAATGTTACGTATACAGTGGTACCTCGGGTTACATACACTTCAGGTTACAGACTCCGCTAACCCAGAAATAGTACCTCGGGTTAAGAACTTTGCTTCAGGATGGGAACAGAAATTGTGCTCCGAAAGCGCAGCGGGAAGCCCCATTAGCTAAAGTGGTGCTTCGGGTTAAGAACAGTTTCAGGTTAAGAATGGACCTCTGGAACGAATTAAGTACTTAACCCGAGGTACCACTGTATGCTTGAAATGTGTGAGAATACACAACTCCCTCTTGTGGTCAGAACTGGCAGCTGAACAGTCCTGTCCTTTTTAATTGCTCAAATGCATGCCTGGTTCACTCTCTGTTCTCTGTCTTGGTGTTTTTTCATTTTCTGTTTGTACACTGGTGTAACATCCTGCTGTTACCCAAGTTACAGCCTTGCTACCTTGTCAAGTATCTTGCAAGATGCTTTTCACTAGCTAAGTGAACAGTGCTGGGTTACCTGACAGGCAGGCTAAGCCCATGTTTGGGGCACTAGCAAAGCAAGGGCACATACACAAAATTAGGAATTTTTGGTTTAAAAAAGAATTTGAAGAATAAGCTTTTAGAATGGAAGAAGCTTTTAGAACAGAACATATTCATGCCATGTGCTGCACACACTCCAAATCTGGTTGGCCACAGTGCTGTTGACTGTTGTCCAGTTTTTCTCAACAGTGATTTTATACTGGAAAGTATAGCTGAAGACCAATTACAAAGGGGAGAAACTATAGGAGAGGCAGAAAACATTGCAAACAAGATGCAAGAACTAGAGTTTGTGTTCATGTTGACTATGTGAAATGAAATTTTACAACAGAGCAGTGCAGTTCAACCCTGAAATGTAATCCATTGGGTTATTTGCTTTTCGGAGAGGGGAGGGAGATGCAGTGAGCAATGCAATTAACTAAGGCTGGAGGGAGTGAAAGGAGCTGGTGAAAGAATTTAGGGTTTCAGCAGAGAATGTGAAAAACATTGTCCGAATGCAGATAGACAGCAGGTCTATCTACTGAGAAACAACAGAAGGACAAACAGGAGAAGAAGTTTATTGGAGCTGGGTTTACTCAAGCCCACCATCACACAGTCACTAGGTCAACCAGTAAAGGTAGGCCTGTTCTCTGATGCTAGTTATATATGCATATTCATTCATTCATTCATTCATTTCAAGCCTTCACTTTGCCCCTCTTGGAAAAATTCCCGTGGACAGTAGTGCATAACACCCCAAACACTAACAAGGCAAGCTAAGCTAAGCTAAGCATGAACCACGTGGCCTGAATTTTCAGTATTCAAGCATTGCCACTTGAAATGCAAATGTGCAGTGTTACCTGAATTAAGTAGTTACTTACCCAGGCGCAGATAACTTTCCACCCATAAGCACAGTGAAAAGAAACTCAACCACTTTTACAACCCTGAATCAAATTATGGATGCTTGCTATGGCCACAGGAGAAACAGAAACACTGTGTAAAAATCTATGTACTTGCAATAACTGTTGTTTTTAATGTTTAAATGCAGACCCTGTAGAGTTCTGTATATTATTATTATTATTATTATTATTATTATTATTATTACTATTGCACCATTTGTTTGTAAGAAATATGCCACTTGGAGGCAGCACAGTGGCATTAAAAGCTAATCAAATCAACAGCAGGAAAGTAGGGGTGAATGATTTACAGTAGTCTAGGCTGCGAATTGTGTCAACATCAAGGCACAGAACTGAAGTGGCTGCTTTCATTTTGCTTTCTCTTTATACATAAATAATTTTATTTGTATGCTACCTTTCCATAGTTAAAACCATGCTCAAGGCAGCATACAACACGAAAAAATACATAATTACAAACATAGCAAAAGTAGTCATAAACAATAAATAAGCATCAAAAAGTCCAAAACCAAATTATTACTGTATTTATTAAATTCTGAATACCAACCTCATTATAATTCCACATAAATAATAAGATCCAAAATAAGGATACAAAAAAATACTATCAATAACAGCAACAACTCTCCCCCAACATAAACTTCTCTAAACAATATTCAGGCCAACAGTCTGTTCAGCAGCCTCAGCTTTTGTAGGGGGAGTCAGGCATACCAGTGATGTTCAGTGTGAAAAGCAATAGGTAGCAGCTTGGAAGGCACTTCCTTCCGTTCATTGCCCAAGCTGACTCAAAACATGA